TTTGTTATGGATACTCCTTAGGAATCTATAGCTTCCAGAAAGTAAAAAAAGTATTCCTATTATTTTCGCTATAAAAACTTTTATTTTTCTGTAACCAGTGCTCTAGTCTTCTGGCTTTCTTTTGTTAGAGAAAACTACATGGTACTATAGAATCATTAAGTTTGGCTTGATAAAAGGGATAGGAGTGCATTTTGCTGTGGTAGTAAACACTTCATCATTTTTGTCCTTCATTGGGCACTAAACTCTTGTGATATGAATGGCAAAACATGATATGGGTTGAGAGTCAGAAGACATGTGGTCAATCAATTTAAGTTTCTAAGGGAGAGACGGTGGGTCTATAAAAGACCTCTGGGGAAGCTACTACTACATTAATGTGCAGAAACAGGAGACAAGAAAAGCAAATGCCACCTGAGCTCCCACCCTCTGGAAGCTAACAGCAATTTCAGAAACTTATTCTATACTGTGGTTTTGTGAAATTGCCATACCAAGTAACAAGATGAGAGGCCCCAAGGAGCTATTTGTGAGACTGATAACATCAGACTTTGTTTGCCAGGAGAAATACTGTCACCAATATCAATGCAGCAAAATTGACACTGCCACTAGACTCCGTTTTCTTAACGGAAGAGTTGTTTTGGAGAAGGGTGACTTGAATTTGGAGCTCATTTGCAGAAATACAGTGCTCCTGTATTTATTTTTCACATTATGTGCTGCTCATTGAATATAATACGTATTTAGGGAAGAATGTAGAAAGTTTATCTTAAATTATCTAATCATCTTCAGTAAAGTTATCGAGTCATAAAATAAATTTAGGATAAATTTAGAAAATTCACTTCAAAATGGTTTTCAAAGGGGCCAGAGCACAGCAGCTTGCTTTGCATGCAGCCAATCTGAGCTCAAACTCCAGCAATCCATATGATCCCCTGAGTTCCACCAGCAGTGACCTCTGAGCTTTGGTGCATCTCCCAAGCAAAATAAGAAAACAGCAAACATAAAAAATTTCCAATAATATATGGGTATCTCCTGGTAGAGTTCATGAGACCAGCTGGGATGCCGGGGATCAATCCTTGGTCAATCATGTCCAAGACAAGCAACTTACCCACTGTGCTTTCATTCCAGTCAATTGAAGAAAACCTTTATGGTGAGATTCTGCTATTTAAATGCACTTTTATGCATATATACGTGTGTGTGTGTGTGTGTGTGTGTGTGTGTGCATGTGTGTGTGGTGGCTCCATGCCAGGCCGTTTTCACTCAGGGCACCCCAAGAGGGGCGGGTGACATGTGTGTGTGTGTGTGTGTGTGTGTGTGTGTGTGTGTGTGTGTGTGCTGATCCTGCACCAGGCTGTTTTCATGCAGGGCACCCCGAGCAGGGTGAGTGGGTGGGTGAGAACCCCCCTGCCCCAAGGGACCCAGTCCCTGCAGCCGACCCCAACTACCCACCGGTGTCATGCTCTAGGCTGCTTTCCACACACTCGGGCCGAAACTCACACATGAATGAAGTCCAATAGAACCCAGGTAATGCGGAACTTTGTGACCCCGGACTCTGGACTCAAAGGGGACCCTGGAGCAGAAATCCTCAGCCTGCTTCTCCCAGTCTCTGGTGATCCAGGGATCACACCCATAAGCCATACCCTGCTGACACCAGATAATCTCCTCATTGGCCACCCTCCAGAACTCACAGCTGCTCCTTCCAGACGGGAGTATAAAATGAGGCCCCCATAACCATGCCAACGGACTCTGTGCCAGGCTGTTTTTACTCAGAGAACCCCAGAGGGAGGTGGGTGAGAGCCCTCCCTGCCCTAAGGGACGCAGTCACAGCAGCCAACCTCCACTACCCAACAGCCGTCATTCTCCAGGCCTCTTTCCACACGCTTGGGGTCAAGCTTCACATATGAGTGAATAAATTCCTGGACGGCACAGTCACAATACATCATAAGATACTCCTTACCCATTTTCCATAATTACCACATCATAGTGATAGCACAGCGGTAGGATATTTCCTCTGCCCCTCTTGGAAAGCCCAGCAAGCTACTGAAAGTATCTCGCCTACAAGGCAAAGCCTGGCAAGCCACCGGTGATGTATTTGATATGCCAAACACAGTAACAAGTCTCAATAATGGAGACGTTAGTGGGCCCGCTCAAGCAAATTGCTGAACAATGGGAGGACAGTGTTTATACAGTGTTTTATTTGATAGAGAAATACCGAGAGCCTGGCAAGTTAGATGTGGCATATTCAATAAGCCAAAAACTGTAAGAAAAACGGGTCACATTCCCCTGACCCTGAAAGGGCCTCCAATACATTGGGAAAGATGAGTAAGGAGAGGTTGCTAAAATCTCAGGGATGGGACAGATGGAAACATTACTGGTGCCCGCTCGAGTAAATCTAAGGACAAGGGAATGACAGTGATACAGTGATACAATGATATATGTGTGTTTTTGTGTTTGTGAATGTGCGTGTATGTGTGTGTATATGTGTGTACAAATTCCATATAGAGTATAAGGTATATACACTTATATATAATAATGTATCATTTTGAAATAAACCTAGGGAGATATTTTTATAACCTTGAAAATATACAAATTTGGATAAAATGTGTTGTATTTATGCAAAGATATACTAAATATCTGTGCCAAAGAATAAGCTATTACTGTATGAAGCAATATGGCTAAGCAAGAGACAATATTGAGCAAAAGTTATCATATGTATGTGTATTTATTTTATAATCTTGTTCATATTACATTCAAGAATAGGCAAACCTTTAATAGTAAGTTAAAATAGTAGTATTGACTAATATTTGCAAACATTTTGTTGAGAATTTTTACATCTGTTTTTATCAGGGATACTGGTTTATAGTTTTCCTTTATTTGTCCTGTCTCTACCTGCTTTTGGTTTCTGGGTGATGTTTGCCTCATAGAAACCGGTAGTGTTTCTGATTCTTCAATTTCTGGAAAAATTTTTGGCAGTTTCACCTCTTTAAAATTTTGTTAAAAACTCACTAATGAACCCATCTGGGCCTGAACATTTTGATCATCATTTAGAGTTCTTTGACAGTAATTGGCCTTTCCATGTATTTCATACCTTCTTGTTCCAGGCTAGAGAGATTATGGGAGTCCAAGTATCATCCATATCTTCTAGAGTCACTCATTTTGTGTCATAAACATCTTCAAAGCAGTCCCTGGTGATCCTTTTAATTCCTGTGGTGTCTGTTGTGATATCACTCCTTTTGTTTCTAATTTTATTAGGGGTTTTTAATCTATTCTTTCTTTGTGGGTCTTGCTAGTGGTTTGTCCACCTTGTTTATTTATTTCAAAGAACCAGATATTGGTTTCATTATCTTTTGGATATTTTTAAACTCAGATTGTTCATTTCTGCTCCACTTTATTACTTTCTTCATTCTATCTACTTAGGTTTTTCCTTTTAGCCCTTTACCATTTTCTTAGCTGTGCAGTTAGAAAATTTAAGTGGCTCCTTTTTTCCTTTCTCACAAACACTTGCTTAAATATGACCTTTACTCTTAACACCGCTTTTCCTTTGTCCTATGAGGTCTGCTAGCTTGTTTCCTCATTCTTGTTTGTTTTCAGTAATCTCTTGTTTATATCTCTAACCTGTAGTTGTTCTGTAGTGAGCTTTTCAATTTCCAGGTGTTTGAGTTAGTTCTTCTTTCCTATCTGTGGTTAGCTTCTATTTTCAGAGCATTGTGGTTAAGAAAATAGTTGATATGATTTCTTTCCTCCTAACTTTATGAAATTATGTGATCCAGAATGTAGTCTAACTAGAAAAACGTCCCATGTGCATTAAAAAAGAGTGCATATTCAACTTTTGGAAGATGCAAAGGTATCTATTTATCAATAGCCATATGTAAATATAGATATTTATATCTATAAACATATCTATATTTATATCTAGAAATATATCTATACATTTATCTTTATAAATATATATTTATAAATTTATATATCTATCTCTATAAATATATTTATATAAGTATATAACTATCTATATATACACAAACATACATATGCACATGTGTATATATATGTATTTATGTTAATGTCTTCTCTTCCATTAATTCTTTCAAAGGCAATATTTTCTTTTTTAAAAAATTTTTATTAGTGAAACACCATGAGGTACAGTTGTAGACTTACAAATTTTTGTGCTATGGTTTCAATTATACAATGATCAAACACCCATCCCTCCACCAGTGCCCATTTACCACCACCACGGATCCCAGTATCCCTCCCACCCCCCATCCCCCCCATCCCACCCTGTCTCTGTGGCAGGGCATTCCCTTTTGTTCTCTCTCTCCTTTTGGGTGTTGTGGTTTGCAAAAGAGGCATTGAGTGGCAATTATGTTTGGTCTATAGTCTACTTTCAGCATGCTTCTCCCATCCTGGGAGGATCCTCCCAACACCACAAAGGCAATATTTTCTTGCTGTGTTTTAGTCTAGTTGATCTTCAAGCGTTGATAGAGAAGTATTGAAATCTCCAACCATTATTACATTGCTATCAATGTCTTTTTTCAAATACGTTAGCATTTGTTTTAAGTATGTTGCTGGTACCTCATTAGGTGCATATATGTTTAGGATCCGTGAGTTCTCCCAATATACAGATTAAGAAATTATGAAATGATCCTCTCTTTATCTTATATTTTAAAGTCTGTGTTGTCTGATATAAATTTGGCCATCCCAGAATTTTTGTCGAGGTTGTTTGCTTGAAATATCATCTACTAAATTTGACTTTGGGTCTGTGTTTGTTCTTACTATTTAAATATATTTCTTATAGGCAGCAGAGAGCTGGATTAATTTTTATGATCCATCCTGCCATTCTACATCTCTTAATTGGTACCTTTAGGCCATTCATATTGAGTGAGATTATTTTATGGAGTTTCATGGCATATTTCAGTAAAATTTTGACATATTTGTGAGACTTTTCTTATCTTAAGCCCCTTCCGTGCTTTTTGAAAAGTTGGTTTTGAGTCAATGAATTTCCAGAATTATTCTTTAAAAATGTGAAATACTTCGCAAATTTGCTTGTCATCATTCAGCCAGGGCCATGCTGATCTTCTCTGTATTGTTCCAGTTTTAGTATATGTCTGTCACACTAGCATATATATTCTCTCTGTTAGTCTTTCCGTTTTTAGTATTATCAGTTTCTAAATACAATTGTTTTACTTAGTGTTCTCCTGAGATACTTTTCATCAAGCAAAAGCAAAGAACATGAAAAGAATCTGAGCAACAAGATAGGGCTAATTTTCCATTTCCTATGAAAGAAGAAAGACTCTTGCCCTCAAAAAGATATTTTATTTTACACATAGCTTTAAAATGTTATACAAATTTAGCGTTTTTCTAAATAGTGGCACTTGTTAAAACTAGACATGATTTGGTCAATAGGCGATACATGCAAATATAGTTTAAGAGTGATAATCTTATGTTGAATGTTGTCCCATTTAAATAGGATGCTTGACCTTAAATATTTGAAGAGATTTTATAATGATTAAAAATTTTTTTAATTTTTTAATATTTAACTTATATTTAAGTGCCATATGGACTCACTTATTTTGAAGTGTGTGTAAGAAGTCCACATATATTTTATGATTCCATTACTGCCAGATTAATATATTTGAACCACTGTAAAAATAACAGATGTTACAGAGGTAAAAAGTTCATAGAATATTTGTTTAATCATCAAAAATAAATGCATGACTTAATTTGCATCTTATAACGTCAATTGATTCTTTAAAACATCAAGTGGCAAATTTCCATTGGCAATACTTTATAGTCAACACCTACTGATTTTAGTTCACAAAAAAATGATTGACATTTAATCGTGGTGGATTGTTTTCATTGAAATCAGTTAAGAGAGAAACACTATTTTTAACATCTTATTATTACTTTAATATAATGAAACAAATTTCTTTTTTTGACGAAACTCACAAACAATGCTAATTGAACCCTGTTAATGTCAGAGTCCAATTAGCATTGTTTGTCTTATTCCCATTTCCTCTGTTTCCTATAATCACCTGACATTGTCAGAGTCGCCCTACCAGTGCTGGGAGACTCCCAGAACTATATATATATAAGTGCTGAGGAAGAAGAATGGGGGAACTGTGTGATGCCACAGTTCAAACTCAAGTCATGTTAAATACTCAAAGTCCTTAAAATTTCTCTCATTTTGATTTCCTACCTTGTTGATTGTGCTTGGATAAAAGTAATTATTGATGTGTATTTTGTGTAGCAGATTGAACCTTAACCCTTTTATAATATAAACCTAGAGGTTAGAGCAATAGTACAGCAAGTAGGAAATTTTCCTTGTAAGCAGCTTCATGCATCCCATATGGTCCCCCAAGTACCACCAGGAACAATTTCTTAGTGCAGAACCAGGAGTAATCCCTGAATATTGCTTGATGTGTTCCCCAAACAAATAAAAAACAAAAAAACCCTGCAAACCAAATATAATCAAAACGGAAATTGTGTCCCTCCACTCTTGAGTCCTCTTTTGGGAAATTATTATTATGGCTGTGAACCTTGAACTATAGATAGAGGGTGAGTAAAAGTACAATTGGTAACTTTTAAGATACCACGAAGTCCAGTGAAGCCAATTTTTTTGTTGTTCAATTTAAAAAATATATTCTATTTTTATAAAGTTGTTCATAATAATTTATTACATTTAGTATTCAAACACCAATCTTCCACACTGAGCCCCAAAACCTGTTAAAGCGAGACAAAATAATTTAGTTTCCACCCTGAGCCCCAAAACCTGTCTCTAAAGCAGAAGCAAAAATATTTAATTTATATTGATTGTTATGAATAATCCACTGAAAATGTTTCCTTAGAAGAATACAACCAAGTCACCTCACCTTCTCATGAGATGATTTCTACATTAGTATCTTGTTTAAATTTAATAGCCCAGGGATTATGAAACTGGATTAGATTTGAAATTTTCCTATTCCCATTTCCTCTGTTTCCTATAAAAAATTAAAATTTTATTTTTTTTCTGAAAACTTGTATTCCATGATTGGCTTTAAGGCACAAAGAACTAAAGGCTCAAACAAATTCTAGCACAAAGTAAACATGAGTTTCTGACCACTGTGTTATTTCCCTGCCCATTAAAACAACTGTTCTTATTGTATTAGAATGCCATCTGATTTTACTTTTGTAAAACAATTGCATATGTTAGTAAGATCTGTGTTCAACAATCACATGAACTGATTTGATGTCATAATACTTCAAAATAAATCAAAACCTGACACAGAGGCGCAGCTCTGGGCAACAAAGCTGAACGGCTCCAATTCCAAACAGGTACAGCCCGCCCCCAAGGGCCTGGGACCCTCTTTGGGCATGCACAGCTAGATCCAGCCCCTAGAAAGCCAGTTTTCAACCCCGGATATGCGTGGAACGGGCACAGAGGTCCAGCTCTGGGCAACAAAGCTGAACGGCTCCAATTCCAAACAGGAGACGTTCCCAACTCCTCGCCCAGTGCCAGGGACTCTTTCCGGAGCCGCGGCCACTAACGTGGCCACGAAATATTTTCCCACTACATGTGCCATAGGAACCATAAGCTACCTTCTTAGATCAAAACTTCTCTAGTTTAGCTCAGCCACTAGAAACACAGTAGCCAATAACTCATAAGCCTATCTTAACTCACACTGCATATCAAGCAGAATAGTAACAGTGAATGTGAAGGACTAAACCACACCTCTCACTATGGTAAAGCAACGCAAAAGCCCACCAAACTTTCATATTGAAGAGTCTAGCCCAGATGACACCAACAGTACTGTAGTGTTAGACAACCTCTCTGACAAGGAATTCAGAAGGGAGCTACTTAGGATGCTTAGGGAATTAAAAGAAACAATGGAAAGCAATGCCAATAGAAGACAAGAGGATCTGAAGGCAGAAATGAGGAAAATGCAATCAGAAATGTCAGACCTGAAAAATCTCGTAGGCGAATTGAAAAGCTCAGTGGAAGGCCTCAGCAGCAGAGTAAGAGCTGCTGAGAACAGAATCAGTGAGCTTGAAGATGAAGTTCAGAGACTCTCCAGAAAAGAGCAGAAAATGGAAAAGAGACTCACAATTCGGGAACAGAGGGCCAGAGAAGATCGTGATGAAGCCAAGAGGGGTAACATAAGAATTATTGGAGTCCCAGAGGGACAGGAAGAAAACCTTGATGAAGAAGAAACTGTCAAAGACATCATTGCTACAACGTTTCCAGAGCTGAAGAAAACTTGTGACCACATTCAGGAGGCCCGAAGGGTACCAGCTAGAAGAAATCCGAATAAAAATACCCCAAGACACATTCTGATCAAAATGACCAAAACCTTAGACAGAGACAAAATTCTGAAAGCAGCAAGATTGAAGAAAGAAATTTCTTACAAAGGAGCATCCTTAAAATTCACAGTTGATTTTTCTGATGAAACCCTCATGGCCCGAAAGCAGTGGTGGGACATAGTGAAAAAACTCAATGAAATAAATGCCTCCCCAAAAATACTTTTCCCAGCAAGACTCTCATTCATAATAGAAGGAACAACACACAGTTTCACAGACAAACAACAGCTCAGGAACTTCATAGACTCAAAACCATGGTTACAAGAACAACTAAATGGGTTACTTTAAGGCAAGAAATGCCCCTCAAATACACCAAATTTTAACAGAACAATGGGACAAAATCCCATAACAATAATCTCTCTCAATGTCAATGGGCTAAACGCACCAATTAAAAGACATAGAGTGGCAGGATGGATTAGAAAATTGAACCCAACATTCTGCTGCCTACACGAAACGCATCTCAATAGTCAAAGCAAACACAGACTCAGAGTCAAAGGCTGGAAAACAATCCTACAGGCAAACAGCTCCCATTAGAAAGCTGGGGTAGCCATCCTAATATCAGACCACATCGATTTCAGAGTGAGGAAGGTCATAAGAGACAGTGAAGGCCATTTATTATTGATCAAAGGATCTGTACAACAGGAAGAACTTACAATAATAAATGTATATGCACCTAATGAGAGACCAGCAAAGTACTTAAAACAACTACTCATAGATTTGGAAAAAGACATCGATAGCAACACAATACTAGTGGGAGACTTCAACGCCGCTTTGTCACCTCTTGATAGATCAACCAGACTCAAGCTTAGCAAGGACATATTCATCTGAGGGAAACAATGGAAGAAAGGGACTTAGTAGATATATACAGGACACTTCATCCGCAAAAAGCTAAATACACATTCTTCTCAAGCGTACATGGAATATTCTCCAAGATAGACAACATGCTGAGCCACAAAACATGCCTCCATAAAATTAAGAAGGTAGAGATTGTATCAACAATCTTCACAGACCATAATGCGCTGAAATTAGAAGTAAATCACACACAAAAACAGAAAACTAAGTCAAACACCTGGAAATTAAACAGTGCACTATTGAACAACAAGTGGATTAGACAGGAAATCAAAGAGGAAATCAAAAGATTCCTAGAAACGAATGAAAATGAGAACACGAGTTACCAAAACTTATGGGACACAGCAAAGGCTGTGTTAAGAGGAAAGTTTATAGCTCTACAAGCATTCCTCAGGAAGGAGGAGCGAGCACACATAAGTAACCTAACCTCAGAGTTTAAGGGCTTGGAGAAGGACCAAAAAAAGGAGCACAACCCGAACAGGAGAAAGGAAATAATAAAACTCAGAGCAGAGATTAACGAGATGGAAACCCAAAAAACAATCCGAAAGATCAATGAAACCAAGAGCTGGTTCTTCGAGAAAATTAACAAGATTGATAAGCCTCTAGCAAAACTCACAAAGAAAGGGAGAGAGAAAACCCTAATAAACCGAATCAGAAATGAAAAGGGGGTCATTACAATAGAAACCACAGAAATTCAGAGGATCCTCAGGGAGTACTTTGAGAAGCTTTATGCCACGGAACATCAAAACCTCGAGGAAATGGATAAATTCCTAGACTCCTACAGACTCCCAAGGCTGAACCAAGAAGACCTGGAATACCTGAACAGACCTATCACCATCAAGGAAATTGAAATGGTAATAAAAAGTCTCCCCAAGCACAAAAGTCCTGGCCCGGATGGATTCACTAGTGAATTCTTCCAAATCTTTAAAGAGGAC